TTTACAAAATCAACGAACCCATGAGACTATTTTACACTTTTAGTTTGCACACATAATCTTTCAGTAAATAAATAATCGATTGCTTATGATAATGCTAGTCTTTGTACACTTTGTAACAGCATAGTCTTTGTATACAAAACACAACGATGTTTATAACAATTAAATATAAAAAAGAGATGATTTATGTTTTTTAATTGCAGTAAAATTAGTAAAAAGCATCTGAGTAACACTGAACTAGGCTTTACGTCAAGGTTCTATTGTAGGACTTATATATTTTTTCTATTTTATACCTACCAATTTAGTATCAAAATAAATATAATAGTCAAACGAGTGTGAAAATCGAACGATTGAAAAATGTTAAAAAAAATTTGGGTCCAGGGTGTGATGATTTGACACAAGTAGTCAGCATTACTATTAAATTTAAATATTACAAGTAAATAAGTCAGTTTCAAAAAGTAAAAATACAAATGCTTGTGAAAAATTCAATCATTAAGTTTTTTTAAGCTTAAGTTAAAGTTTTCCTTTTTGAATGCATTTAGGCCTACTGATCAGTAGAAGTGTCATAGTTAAGGAATACTTTTGGACAGTTTTACTTTAAACATAGCTGAATGAGTAGTGAAATGTTACTAATTCATGTAGGGATAAAAACTATAATGTTTATTTTACAACTGACCTGAACTCGGTATTATATTAGAGTGAGTGAACAAAAAAGAACGATTATGTTTGTGGACAGGACTAATCCATTAACAATTACATGACCTGGGTTGATGGATAAGGTAACAAAAATCACGCTTTAATTACTTTTATGTTATCGACAGAGTTTGCACGTATTCATTACTTATGGTCAGAATCAAAGAAAACATTTTCAAACAAGCAGCAGCAATCTTAGGAACACCATGCTTACTTCGAAAAACTGTGGTAAATGAAGCATAACATAATCAATTTATTAAAGTTGTACGTTTTACAAACGAGTTTAGAACATATATATACAGGGTGTTTGTGAACTCTCTCGAAAAAATTCACAGGATTATTCCTTGGGTTAATACATGAATATTTTACAATATAAACTTGGGTCGCCGGAGCCTCGTTTTCTGTCTGTCTGTCTGTATGTGATTTTTATAAATAACTTTATAACTCGAGTTTGAATCGAGGTACAAACTTAAAATTTGACACACTTGTGTATTTTAACGTGTTACACAAACATGCAAAATTTAATTTCGTTGACTATAGCCGTTTCAAAATGGCGGCCATCTAAAATCTTTGACCTCAAATTATATGAAAACCACTAGAGTTACATAAAAAACACAAGAGTAACAAAATTTAGGAAATTATATGCCAAATCAAATAACACCTAGATCTTAAAGATCGGACAAAAAACAGCTGAGTTATAAACTTTTTAAAATTATTAATAATTTCTTTACTGGCTTTTAATTGTTATTATTTATTCTTTAAAATCATCTGAAACAGAGTAAATTACGTAACCTTAAACAGATCTCAATAGTTAAGGTAAAAAATAGGACACTTAATACATTTACCATCTAGTAAAAAAACTAAATGTTTATGTTAGGGCAAACCAGCTGTCTCACATTGTTGTAACAATTTAGAAAGGATCAGATGATTTTAAAGAATAGACAATTACATTAAAATCCAGTAAAGAAATTATTAATTATTAAAAAAATTAATAACTCAAAATAATCATGTGATCATCATCTAAAAATCATATGTCCAACCAGCTGCCTTACATTGTTGTGACAATTTAGAAAGGATCAGATGATTTTAAAGAATAAACAATAACAATTAAAAGCCAGTAAAGAAATAATTGATTATTTAAAAAGTCTATAACTCAGCTGTTTGTTGTCCGATCTTTAAGATCTAGGTGTTATTTGATTTGGCATAAAATTTCCAAAATTTTGTTATTCTTGTGTTTTTTTTTGTAACTCTAGTGGTTTTCATGTAATTTGTGGTCAAAGATTTTAGATGGCCGCCATTTTGAAACGGCTATAGTCAACGAAATTAAATTTTGGATGTTTGTGTAACACGTTAAAATACACAAGTGTGTCAAATTTAAAGTTTGTACCTCGATTCAAACTCGAGTTATAAAGTTATTTATAAAAAACACATACAGACAGACAGACAGAAAACGAGGCTCTGGCGACCCATGTTTATAATGTAAAATATTCATGTATTAACCCAAGGAATAATCCTGTGAATTTTTTCGAGAGAGTTCACAAACACCCTGTATATTGTATGTTATAAATTTAGGTATTGAGTTATATAAGTATTTAGTATTGGACTGAACTAAGCATTATAGGATAACTAGTGAGCTTAACAGACATCCTGTTAAGTTTGTATTGATACTGCCGTGGAGCTTCCCAGCTTGAGCATCGGAGCTTTTTATCCGTATTTTATATTTACAGTAAATAAATGTTGATAAATTATGAAATATGAATTTATGAAATAAACAGGTACAAAAGAATACGAGAGACACCGCACTCGCATATAAACGTCACTTTTCACCCACACTCAACTCGCTTAGGACGCTGAGTCACACAGCTGTATACTTCGACTATTGGGAAAAAAATTCTCTACAATACTTGAACATGAACTCCCAAGCCAATTTTTTGTAGCTTTGGACTGAATCTTGCATTTAGTTCAGAATTTGAGACAATTCATAACTCTGAACCACAAATACAGAAGAAACAGCAGTTTAGATCTACAATAAACAATTTAGGATGAAAAATAAATAATGTGCTTATAAATCAGCGTATGTACGGAACACTTAGTTTAGGGCTGTAAAATATTATTAATAAGAGCGCTAGTATAAAACCAAATACAAAGATGGAATGATACGGCTTAATATAAGCAATCTTAGAGGACAATTTGGGCGTATATAGTAAATGCTTTTAGGCTTTCGATATTTTATTAATTCTTCAATAATTCTTCATCGGCACGTTCTTTTGCCAAATCAATTCCGTTCTTTCATGTCAAAACTCAAAATAACTTCTTAATCAGCGTAGCACGTGTTATAAAATGTTTGAAAGTAAATTAAGACACTTTTAACATTTAAAATATTTATTCAACACTACATTCGCCTATTGGGTCTGATAATGATTGCAGACTCCAATCAAAATAGATTACCACTATCTTTTATTATGTATTTACCGTCCTGTTGGAAAACAATATGAATGTTAATATATTTTTTAGAATAACTAGACGTATTTTTATTTAATTTCCGTTAGTAAAACTCCTGAAATTCACAACAAATTTAAAAAACAAGTTTTTATAATACCGTAAACGAAGGAATTTTAAGCTATCGATAACCATTCGGGATCCCAGGATCAGCCAAAGGCACGAGTTTGTACTTTATTCTAATCCACTGTTAGCTTAAAGGAGCTTTAGTATTGTATTTAATAACGATTATAGTATTTTAAATAGGAGTTAACTGTGTTTTGTTTAATAAACATATAAAATATAATAGGAGTTATATATTTTGTTTAATTATTGTAATACTTGTATTACTGGGAGAAAATAAATGTTCTTATTTTCCTTAAACTTTGTCATAGAGCATTGGATTTCTTTGGTTAATTAATGTTGTGCCAAATCAATTGCCCTTATTTTATTTAAATATAATTTATGTTGCTCTTAAATATTTAAATATTGGAAAGTATGAAATACCTGAAAAATACAAAAATATTTACGTCTAATAACACTTGCATTAATAATATATTTACACTTATACTGTTGACTTACAAGACGGTAAATACATATAAAAGTTGGTAAGTGGTGATCGATTTCATTTGGACACTCCAATCATCATCGAAATCCATCACCACTTACCGTCTTTTGTATATTTACCGTCTTGTGAGTAACAGTATAAGCATAATTGTATGTTTTAAGTGTTATAAGACGTATCTTTATTTACTTTCCGTAAGATGAATTGCATGAAACTCTTTCTTGTAGATGTAAATTTTTTTATGTAAGATTGTTTGAACATTACTCCACCTAACTAGTTCAAATACCTTTCAGTGTTAGATTTGTAATTTTCAAGACTTCAGTAAATTTTAAAATTGTTATATAGTTGTATATGTTAAGTTTTTGCCGAAGAAGACTGTGTTATGAGTTTTAGAATATTTAGCATTTTATAAAACATTTTCCTATCCTAAATTTAAAATTTAATGCCTACAGAATATAAACCAGTATCGTGAAGTTTGGTATCAGAATTCAACTGATGGATTCTATGTCATATTAATAAAGTATTGAGACAGCAATAAAAACTTTGGAACTTCAATCATTCAGACAGTATTGTAATGCTTGTGCAAAAATATCAGACTTGCAACAAAAAAGATACTGTATTATTGTGATAGGAAGAACAAAAGAAATGTAAAAAATATTCTGTATACTTCAAGACAACAGCTTACTCTTTTTAATAATTAGTTTTAAGGCTATAAACAAATAAGTAATGTTTATAATGTGATAGAATCACTCGTAGAAATTTATATTTGGTAGGAAAAACGTATTGGATTTGAGATAATATGTGATAGCTTATAAGGTCTGATGATAATTAGAGTTTGGAATAAAAATCGATTGCTATTTTTCCTTCCTGTTCATGTTGTTTCGTATGTAATAGGCTACAGCAAAAGCTTAAATATATTACAACGTATTATTAGTGTGTTTTTAAAACTATAATTTGGAATATAAATATCATATCTGATGCTTTGAAAAGAAAATGCTTGAAGGCATTATCACAGGTATTAACGAAAATCATAAACTCACGAAACTAAAATTACAGAAGAATAGGTACCGATACATTATTCAGAACATGAAAATTATGTATGACTTAAGACTTATGATGGAATTTCGGGTTCTTATTTTTTAATAATTGCGAATGGGTCAAAAGGGTTTCTGGTGATGTCATATGGGAAATTAAGGTTTTCTGTAAAATCACTCGTAATTAGAAGTTCTTCTAGAGGAATCACTTACTGAAATTCGTCCTTTTTCAGGCATGCCGAGATGAGGTCTGCAAGTCGGTTTTAATCTGAGATGAGGACCATCGCTTTTCTTTCTTTCGTCTATTTTCTGACAGCCTTTGTTATTGGACAAACTGTAGTGCATGGTAAGTGTTAAAATACTGTAGTCAATGACACGTGTGATCAAAACCAGACAGTAACGTAAAGAGTGTAAGATTAAACCACTACAATTTTAAGAGAACATTATAGTCTATTCTTAACATCATACTTGGGTTCCTTATACCAAAGTGCAATGGAACAATAGTAATTAAGTTCTTGGTGTTTAAGAATGCTGATGCTTAGAATCGTAGAGAGTAGATCCAATTACGCTTAAGCACAGTGAAGTACTACTCTGTAGCTTGTCAAAGCAGCATTCCGTTCTCAAGAAAGAAGCAAATTTTGGTTGAAACTAATTGCCATTGAAACTTGATATTACTGTGAAAACAACAAGCTAAAATATATAAGAAATAATGATGTTGAGACAAAAATCCGTTTGAAAACTAAATTTTAATAAAAATAACCGTAAATATGTTAATGCAGGTGTAAAGAGTTGATGGTACTGTACTATGAACGTGTGAGCTCTATAAACTACAAACATTTCCTAATGTTAATTTTGAAAATTGAAGCATGCATCACTTCTACTTTACGTGTCCTAGCCACCCATGTGTTTTTATGTGATTTAATAGAACCAACTACCACCTTTCATTTACAGCCTCATGTGATTTGACTAATTATGTTAGAATATGGTGAGCGAGCTGGTCTGGAAATAGATCACGGGAATTTGACCACTGAGGTCCAGGGTTAAAATCACGCTAAATCACAAATGGATGCATCTAAGTGATATTGCCGCAACCCCTAGGTATGTTTTGTCCTAGGACGCTAGGCACAAGCCTGGGATTGTTTTTCACATTACTTCAGGCTAGACCTAAGGGTTGCGGCATTATCACTTAGATAAAATTCATTGGTGATTTGGTGGGATTTGAACCCGGGACCTCTTGAACCGAAGCCCCACGCTCTAACCACTAGACCAGCTCACTCCCCCACAACCCCTAGGTATAGCCTGAAGTAATGTGAAAAACGAGTTTAGCCCTAGTCTCCTAGGACAAAAACGTATACAACTCATTTCCTGTTGTCTTTTCTTTGACCCCTTAGTACAAGCGTACTTGCGAATTTCAGTTGATTACTGACGCTTGACAGTAGGGTTTAGACATTTTCCAAAAATAACAGCACCTCATCCTTTGCATTCGTCAGGTGCGGATGGATTGATCATGTTCTTCCTAGGTACTGTTCCAATGGATAAGTACCTTTTGTTACCTTTTGTTTTATACATAAAATGTCTTATATTGTTGTTCTATATATTCACTTGTCTTCTAAGAGTTTTGTAATTTGATATTGTTTTATTTAGTATTTAATACTATGTATGTACTATGTACTGGCATTGTAAAAACCCCTACATTCTATATGATTCTTTATTTATCAAGATTTACAATAATTTTTTTTTAAATTTTCGTCAAGACTTCAATGTTGCGTTAGCAGTGTGTTGAAATGTTAAGGAGTCTTCATTCATATGAATAAGTTATTTGTGTTTTGTAAAGGCAACACGGTAAGGACTTACAGTTTAGGTGTACTTATGCTTTGGAAAGGTGTACCTACTTATGAGATATTATCGGGGAAGTCATAGAGATGTTTGTCTACGGATAGAAATTTATGATGTGGTTTTACTTGTGTTTGTAAATGGTACGCCTTCAGACAGAGACTTCTGGTACGGGGAGGCAAGAGAAGCACTGCTGAGAAGACTGCCAGAGGGTAGAAGACCTCACGCTAGGAACGTAGTGCTCATGGTGGGAGATGGGATGGGGGTAGCTACCCTAACAGCCGCTAGACTCTTCCGTGGACAACGTCAGGGAGAGTTGGGGGAAGACACGGAGCTCACCTGGGACAGATTCCCGGCTGTAGCCTTGGCAAAGGTATGTCAAACGTTAGGACCAAAGGGTATAAAAAAATCCAATATAGATGTAACCACAATTCCTTAAATTAATATAGATTCTTAATAAGTTACTAGTTTACTATCAATGGAAATATTTAAAAGCACACGTTTTTTGTACAATGTAATTTTAATTGAATTAGAAACAACCACAACCTGATAAATTATCAAGAGATATAGATAGATATTTTTCGTCCTGGCACCCCGAAATTATTTCCGGATAGCCAAGCAAAAAAACATACATAAATTGGATGAGTTGTAAATTTGTATTTTTTGGAAATAAATAAACAAACAAAAACATAGAATACACAAAAGTTCGTATATCTGACAATAATACAGTAATAATAATTCAAATACTTTTCCCACACCCTTGTAAAAGACTTAGACACTAGACATTATTCACTGTAATACCAATCCACGTGATTTACGAATAAATATAAAGGCTATTATGACTATTTAAGTTGATTTGAGTGAAAATCTAATCAGGCAAATGGAAATTCGCCTAGTTTTTAGGTTTGCTACGGCGGGGGTATTTTTACTTTGCCTTTATTTATGAGACGGAAATATTTCGAGATAACTATTTGTTAAGAAAAGTCATTTATTGATACAGTATATTTTGTACGTAACACAATATATACTCTCCAAGAAGTACGGTACAACGGCTGTTACAATTCCTTGCATTACAACTCAAAATACACTGTTATCCCTCTAAACATATCTAAACATACCTGATTATTTCGTATGAAACATCATTAGGATAGTATATTAATCCTAAACTTCGCCTTTTACTTTGCCAAGTTTCATGAATTCGTTTAACTGAAGCCTTAAACATAAGTTAGCACTATTTCAAAAGAGCTTTTGCCAAGAGAAGATAGTATTTATAACATTTAATATAGTTTGGTTTGCATGATGGTTATCGATATTGTCATGTTGACAGACGTACAACATGGATGCCCAGATCGGCGAGTCGTCTGCGTGTGCGACAGCTTTACTCTGTGGGGTCAAAGCAAACTTTGAGACTGTCGGACTAGATGCCAGGGGAAAGTTTGAAAACTGCAAATCCAGCATCTCTGCCAGAGTTGACTCGCTAATAGACTGGGCTCATCGAGAAGGTAATGTGTTTAATTTGGTCATTATGCTGGAGTAGAGACTAGCAAGCTTACATCCATTGCAAACTAAATGCAAATAGGAACGATATTAGATCACTGTAAGTAGTTATGAAGCTACACGACAGAAATAAAAATGTTATTTAAAATAGTGATATGTGTGTACTCTTTTTCCTATGTTGGACTAGTACCACTTTCCGATTAAAATCAGTTCCCTGTACCAATATAACTATAAACAATTTTGTTATTTATGATTGCATCATTTATGCTACCATATTAATATGACATCTTCAGGTTTTAAAAATATTTCAGTAATACTAATTTATTTTCATAAAAGGTTTATAATGTTATGACTCATTTCTGTATTTGTGATTGCAGTTTAAGAATTGAAATCAAGCAATTTCAAAAGTGTGGATGTATTTTTTCGGGGACTAGTTTGATTTCAGAAACCTTTGGCTGTTCTCGTCGTTGTATAAGCGAACCAAAGCAAGTAAAACGATATTTTTAAGGCTTCAACAACATGCCGTAGGTGGCACGGTAAGACCTAGGCCCGGGACCGATTTAGTTTTTCATTTTCATGTCCCCAGAGGCCGAAAACACCATTCGTTAAAGTTTTTATATATGTATGTATATACACGACCGTGAACGCGATAACTTGAGTAATCTTTGTCCGATTTTAATGAAATTTGGTTTAAAGGTATAAAGCGGGATAAACTCGAATGAGTTCTCAAACCAGCATGACCGGACCATGGGAACGGGATTTTATGGGTGGTTTTATGGCGTAAAAAATAACTTTTCTCATTTTTTACCCTCAAAACACAAAATTTCTCAATTTCTCTCTAGATCCTCTTGAAATAACTTAAAAAAAAAACAAATAATTTAGTATATCAAAGTGTTTTTGTTACGGTTATTGGTAACGGAGAAAACTAAATTTAAAATTCCTATGTTATTCTTATGGAGAATATTATAAAATGTTGCAGTTTGCTTGTTTATTGATATATTTCGATCAACCTTGGCTAATTAATTTATTTTATACTAAGTTAATAAAATGTTAAAAAAAACACACTTTATTAGTTTCCTTGTAGCAGCAAACCTAGGTACTCGTTAAACCTAATAATATTTAAATAAATTTGATTAAAAATCAATTCAGACAAATGGAAATTCGCTTAGTCGGCAGGTTTGCTGAGGCTCCGGAAAGGTTTAAAATTGCTTATAGAACCGGGAAGTTTCAATTGTTGAATAATCACCATCAATAGCCAAGGTAGAAAATAGCAGTTGGGGGAAATAATGATGATGTTGTCGTGTCCGCGAGAAATAATCATGAATGTTGCCGCGATCACGTCTCCGATGTTTCGGTGGTGTTGAGTTTCAATTTAGACACATCACTCATGAGAATGTTCAATAAAAGTAACTTTACCCGCAATTTTCCCGATGCCACGGGCTGTAAAGTCAGTCAGACCGTCCAATAGACCGTGAACTGTCGGTACCAAAGATAGGCCTACTCCACATTAATTCCGACAGTTCAACGTCGGCTGTCGGTACCTATAATTTTTTCAAGAACCAACGGTACTGAGAATCTTTAAGTACCGATACATGACTTATTTAAACTAAATGAAAACATAGGAGCTCTGGGAAATTGTTTACGTTTAGGCAACGATACATTGATATAATCACTAAGGTTCAATCTCTAATCAGGACGCAGAATTCACTAGGGGCTTAGGTATGATTGCTGAAATCTCAAGAGAGGTGCGAAATCAATCCATTTCATTTAATCCCACTGCAGAAATTTATGAATTAACAACCATTAAATCTTGATACAATTTAATAAAACTGTCCCAAATACTAAAAGTTGTTTTTTAGTAAATTAAAAACCATTAATAAATACATAGGCACTAGTATGTTGTTTAAACGAAATCAGTATATATTATTAACTATAAGTTTATATTATTTCATAGTATTGCCAGTTACCATTAATGTAAGTAGCTGTACAAGTACAATACTGATACAATGCTATTGTTTGGTCAGTGAAGGTTGCTGGTTGCCTGTGGTTGCACAATTACAATAGGGATTTAGTGCAATGTTATACTGTGGTTGGATGAAGTTAAGGTTTAATAGCTATGGGTGGTGTAAGTACTCGAGGGAACTCTGAGGATTTGAGATTTGGACATTGATGAAGCGGGGTTACACCCATTTGGGGATCCTTTAAATGCTTACTCTTTCTTTTGTATACTTAGGTACCTCCTAAATAATATCCTCACAAAAGAAAGCCTTTTACACCTCGATCGTCCATTTATCAATTTCTACTTGTTTTAGTCTTAATTAATTTATACTATGTGTTTAAGTAAAACAATTTTTATACATTTGTTGTGCATCGAAAATCATCTATAGTTAAATTGGCGTTAAGGTGCAACAGAATAATATAGTGCCAATCATTATTGTTTCCAACTATTATTAGGAATAGAAACATTCCTCATAAAAACGTTATTGGATGTTAGTTTGCAATTCTTGGGAAATAAACTTATTTATAATAAATAAAAACAATAAATTTAAACAAACCTACAATATACAATATAATCTGTAAGGCCATTTTACAGGAGGAACTTGTGAACCAACAGTAAAATTGTCTGACTATGTATTCATTGTATCTTTTTTGTTTCAACCCAATATTTTGTTTTAGTAGAAAACCCAATATTCTAATAACACGTCATATGCAAGGCTGTACATTGCCTTGGTAAATTGCCTTTTTTGAATTCACATTGTTGCCTACAATCGGTTGAAGAGAAGGGAGAGAGGACGTGGTCTATAGGTAACAACGGGAGGCATGGATTCATCTTATGTTCATTTACCATAATGCAGTGTACACTCAAGAATTATTTAATTTATGACGAGATGTATTAGTATTTCTCATTTAATTATTGAAGTGTAGCTTTTCGTTAGAGATGCGTTGTTCCCCTTGTGAACAAGTTCTTGTATGTTAATCAAAATATTATTAGATCAAGGAGATGTATTCCGATCAGCAGGGAATATTTCTATGGAGAAGACAAATAAAAACCACAACATTTCTAACCAGTTAAGAGCTGCAGTACTGTGATCTGTGTAAAGTAGATTTTATGCTGCATAATCCTCTACTAAACAATTCATTAATAGTCTGTTCGATTTTATTTGAAAAAAGAAATTGTAATTAATAAAGGACCTGTGGGGATGGGTATTAGAAAAAAAGTATTTACTTACTTTAGGGGCTTGAAAAGAATTTTGAAAATAATGTTTTTTCTCATTATTTGGCCTATTTTGAACACTTTTTACATATGGCACTTTTGGGGCAAAACGCCTATTTCACTCTGAAAATCACTTTTGAACATTGCAAAAAGTGCAAAAAAATCATTGGGTTTTTTACTTTTAATATTGTGTTTTTATTATTACTTGGGACATTTACTTTTCCCTCCGGGAATTTTTCGACAACTGCCGTTTTTACCCAGAAATTCAGATTTAAAAGAATCATAAAAAACTGCAACGTGCTGAAAATGCACGGCCCACTCCTCTACCTAGCTAAATGTAATTTAATCTAACATAACCTATCCTAAACTAATCTAACCCAACCTAACCCATGCTTATGTTAGCATATTGCCGAAAATGACGGATTGTTTGTTAAACCAAGGTCAGGTTAGGTTATGTTGGCTTATATTTAGATTAGTAAATAAGTGGGCCGGGCATTTTCGGAACGTTACAGTTTTTTTATGATTTTTCAAACTTTATTTTCTGGGTACAAACGGCAGTTGCCGAAAAAGTGCCAGAGGGTAAAAGTGTTTAAAATGTCATAAGTAATAGTAAAACACATTAAAAGTATTTTTAATGTATTATTTCAATTATTTCAGGTAATTTTTATTATTAAAAAAAACTTTACTTGTAGCATATCACAGTAGCGCAAATTTCATAACGAGTAAGAAAATTCAACTGGAGAAGGGCTAAGTGCATTGGAATAGAAAACACAGAGTATTAAAAAAATATTGATTTTCCCCAAAAAAACTGCCACCATTTTGAAACAGAGAAGATAATTGATTTCTGTTTTCGCCAAAATGTTTGTCTACTAAATACCTTTAAAATTATGTATAACATGACCTATGTTTACATTTGAAAATTCCGAGATTAGAACTAGTCACCCTCAGTTTTTGGCACACCCTGTATCGGAAGAAATTTAAAAGTATTTTTACGTTATTCCTTGGGGTTGACTTCGTGGAAAATAATTTTATTTCATCCTTGTATGTTAAGCAGTTTTTCCGTAATCAATTTGAGACACCCTTTCGTGTGATACCCTGTATACGAACAAGTATATATACGAACCATCATGTGCTATGGGTTGCGATTCAATTTAAATAAACTTAAGCTAAATGTTTGCTCAATTAATTGTCATCATGAGTTAGGCACATTAGTCAAAAAAGTAAAATTTTAAGAAATCAACTGTTTTACAAACTGATTCAATTGAAAGAATTTAAATTTGTATGATAACTGTATACAAAATACATTTGATCACAAAATGAGCAGTCTTTACGTGTCTACTGTATTTTATCAACTGAAGATTGTATCAATGACCAGCCGTTGTATCAAATAAACCACGACCAATCTCCCTCCTTTTCAACCAACAGCGCTGCAACAGTGAGGATGTAAAACATCAATTTATCGTACTCCAATCTGAACATTATGGAAGCGAGCTGATCACAAGTAGTAGTGAGCGGGGCTTCAGTCCCAAATTCCCGGGTTAAATTCATACCAACCACAAATGTATTTTAGCTATGCGATGATGACACAACCCACTAGACCTAGGTTGTAGTATTATGTAAAACCTTTTCGGGTTATAAAGCCTAATGTTGTAGGACGTTTGCTTATTAAAAAAACTTAATACAGTTGAGCAATGTACAAATATGTTTAATACTTTGAGTAGGTATGATGACTGGTATAGTGACCAACACCCGGGTCTCACACGCCACCCCAGCAGCACTCTTCGCTCACTCGCCCAGCAGATACTGGGAGGACGACAGTAAGGTGCCTCCAGCGGCGAGGAAACTCTGTAAGGACATCACCAGACAACTCGTCGAGGACGAACCGGGGAGGAACATCAATGTGAGTACAATAAACCTGTAAAACAAGCCTGGTTAATTTGGGTACATTTGTGGAACGTCTCCTTTCTCTGGAGCATGAAAATTGTTTGATAACAGCGCTGTAAACTTGGAAAACCTATTGCTTGTTTCTTATACCAAATACTGTATAACGAATAAATCATGTGTTTGAAATACAGGGTTTCCATAAAATAATGGTGCGGTTTAATTATGAAATAAAAAGATAACGAGAAGAGGTACAAAAAAACTATTTACTTTATTGGATTCCTTACATTAAAAAGATTTTATACATACCTAATAAAGCTCAAAATGGCCACCATTCCTTGCCCTGCAGACGTCCAAACGATAATCTACTTCAGCCCACACATAAAACATTTTGCGACATTTCTTTTGTCACCGTTGAAACTGAAATCTGTTGTTTTTATTTTTTGAAGAAGTTGAATTTTGTAGGCATGAACATGGAGTCTTTTGTGTAAAACTTTCTGAAGAGTACTTACATGTATTCCTAATTCAATACTACGGCGAGGGAGGGATGTATTTGGACTTCTAACACAAGATGGTCTGATGTCTTCAACTGTCTCGTTAGATACTGGTGGTCTACCAGGTCTACTTTGCTTTTTAACTGACCCAGTGTTTATGAATTGCTTACAACAACGATTAATGTTGTTTTTATGAGGCGGAGCTTTATTGAATGTTCTTCGAAATGTCCGTTGCACTAAAGTCATTGACTTTTAACTCACTTAATAACAATACACACTTAGCTTTTTCCTGATCTGAAAACATGTTGGTAAAAAAACTCAACTTATTGAATAAGAAGTGTTTTGAATAGCACAACAATCAAAACAGGTGTTTTAACTTATGTGAACAAAACTGTTTGAGCTACTGGATACAGGGATACCAACAGAAGGTATTTAATTTGTCTTATAACAGTTTTACAGTATGTTAAAACCGCACAATTATTTTATAGAAACCCTGTATATATTTTAGTAGATTAAAACATAGAACGTAGCTATTTCTGTTATTTATCATGGTACTTATGAATCACCTCGATAGATCTAGGAAAACCCCTGATTTTGAATACAATTATAGAACGTGCATACCAACATAGTAAACTATACGAGTCACACTATTGCTATTGGTTTGGGAAAGAGGATATATATCCAGAAAATTGCTTATACATTGGATGTTTTTGGTAAACAATTGAAATATTCACCATTTATTCCCATTAAAATGTAAAAGTACAAAAATTCTCAATCTAAGTTATTATTATTCATAACGTACATAGATTAATAATTAATTATTAAACATTACCAATCTACCAGTTGCTTCATGGATATTTTAAGTGCTGTACGCAATTGGTTGTCCATTTCTTGATCTATCGGCAGGATAAAACAGCAAAGGTTTTCCATTATACAACTATGAATATGTTTTCAGGTTGAATTATCACGACTCCACATCCCGCTTTAGGGCTAGGTTAGGACCGAGGCGTAACCTAAAACTTAAATTTTTGTATGGCTCATATAAGATATATAATGGTAGTCATACGATAAAAACCTGATAACAAGTCTGTCATGGGGATTGTGAAATATGACTTGTTATTACGGTTGATTCCTTACCAATGTTTGCAATTACATATGATCAAGAGTAAAATAAAATCAAGGACATTTAAAAATTGCACTTACTATCAAGTGTAACTTGTTATATAGAGTCTCTTTATTAAGGTATCATTTTATAATGAAAAATTTACATGAATTTGTTTATTTCAAGATAGGTTTTTTAAAATTTATCAAAAATATACATTTGTTTCCATGTAGCTTCAAACCCAATAACTCATCGGAAATAGTTTGATTTATATAAGGCGTGGGACTGTGAGCAAATTTATTTTTGTCAGCTACCTTCTTAAATAAACATTCTATGCACAACTTAAAGTTCGTTTGATTGGTACGTTTGTTGCAGCATGAATGTATTGAATTTATCAACAGCCAGTTAGTCTGTTTGAAATCACAGCTGATTCAAAAACACACTATTCACATACCTCAGTATTTAGTACTAAGAGATTGAATGTTTGGTTAGGTAATTCTTGGAGGGGGAAGAAGACATTGGCTACCCAAAGTTACCAGAGATCCCGAACAAACAACTGATGAAGGACGACGACTAGACGGCCGAAACTTGGTAGAGGACTGGGTTAGAGATAAGAAGAAGAGAGGAGTTAAAGCTGAATTTGTGTGGAATAAACAGCAACTTGACAACACATCAAGTGATGTAGATTTTCTTTTAGGTGAGAATAGAGATATAATCATTGGTTAGGATATATTATATAGTTTATTTAAATCAGTTTCTGGCATGGGATAGATTTTACACAACTTCAGGCTAGGTTATGGCATTGTCACTTCGATAAAATCTATTGGTTATTGGTGGGATTTGAATCCGAGACCTCGGGGACCGAAGTACCGCTCTCTACCAACTCGCTCCACAGAAAATATTATGCAATGAAAAATACGTCTGGGGTAAACAACGAAAAAGTGAATGCACACTAATAGAATATACTGTGTATACTGTATATTACGTGTATATATACACATTTTCATACCCTTACAAAAGAGTTAGTAAGGTTTACTCGTCTTTATTACTTATTTTATTTTCATTCAGCTATCATTGTTAGCTAATTATTTCAACTGCAAATGAAATCAATTAAATGCAGAATGAAATATAGTCGGGCAGTTTTTTCCTTGATTTGTTATTCAAATAGACATTGAGACTATTTGTAAAGCAATTCTAGAATGTTTTGGTTAGTGAAAAAAAGAGTTTTTATTTTTGCAAAATTTCTTACTTGAATTTCGTTTTTCTCATGCAACAGGTTAGTTTCTATACATACGATATAAATAATCTTTCCAGTATTTAAGACCGTAAACATTGTAGGTTTTAAGATCCACACCATATAATCATAATTAATTTTGGCTTTGCTGTTAACATTCTACGCATTCAGATTTGATACTAAAAATACTTGAAATTTAAAGGTGGTAGCAAATAATCTTGCCGTATGAAGTATAATGAGGCAAAATCTTGATACAATATCTAACACTATCCAACACTATCATACTTCGGTATGTATTAATGTACGTTCTGAGTTTGAATTCAATAGCCTATCTTAATCAAGGTAGGTTTTGTAAAACTTTATATTTTAGGACACAGCTTTATGTAAAATATTTCTTCTTTGTATGGCAGTTTGTCCTTTCTGTATTTTGAGCAAGTTTTCTCGACCAAAACGATCATAAATCATAAAACTTTGTAGCCAAAATGCACGTATGAAATAACCAGACAAAATACAGTCAATGTTAGTAACAACGATGATAAATAATGATGATTAAAATCAGTTGCCTCCTACCCTGCACTATGTATTCAGGAAGTAACTTTATATCATTGTTTACTGTGTGTAGCAAGTTGTTGATCAAGGGTTTGCAGCTAGACGTTTCCTTTTATTATTATTGGTTTTATATTTAATTGTTGTTATAGATTTTAGTGACTGTATAACAAAGTATCCTATTTATTTAAAAAGTGTTTATTCAATTATTCTTATGAGAGCACAAGAACATAATGTACATTAAAATGAATTCAATTCATATCATAATAAATACACTTTTTTATATTTTAATAATTTAATCTTTTAACTGAAAGCTATTTTAAGCTTTCAATGAGTGATAATTAGATCTTGACATAGGCTTTGGATAAATTTAAGTTTCCTAAGCTTAATTTAAGTTTTGTACATACTCAGTATGTTAATACTTTGTAAAAAGAGAGCTTATCTGGATCGTAACTGTAACAAAACAGGATAAAAAATAAAAAATAAAACTACAACATAGCAATATTAAACTAAATAAATATTAGCACACTCGTGGCGTCACCTTATAAAACTCATTGTCCATTCATAAAAAAAAGTTAAATAGTGGTAACAATGCTAAAGTTCATCCCCAGCCTAAATTAACCCAATTATTTGTTTGGTCGTATTCTAATATCTGACCAAAGTATAGCCGTCACATAAAGTACGACCTCCGCACAAATAGTAATGCATAAGAAATTCCTGGCCAGTACATTATTCGACAGTACAAGTACTGTATTTTAAACCGTTGTATCTGAACTATAAACGTAATAAATGGCTAACAAATGTTTAATTAGATAGTGGTTGATAATAATCTGAGAGTCACTTTAAGTAAAACATTCTATGCATGGATGGTGTTCTGATTGCCGATTTTGGTGAGCCAAAATTGTGAATCCAAAACATATTTATTTACTATAAATACTAAACGAATATACATTGGGTATGAACTCAGAATATAGATACCAATTCTGTGGTATGAAGAATGATTTGTCATTTAAAAGTTACCTTCTTTATTGCCAAAGCAAATAGAACTGACGGGTCAAAGTCATGTTTTGAAATTGGCCAGATAGTTTTATTGAACCACCAGTTCTATTTGAGTTGACTATATTGGTGATCCATTCTAGATCTAGTTAAAAACATTATCGATCATGTTTAAAATAATTTAATTACCATTTTATTATACACACCAATACAATTTTTAGTTAAGAAACTCGTCACATTTTTGTGTACATGCCGGGGATCGAACCTCTAGGACACACCCAAAGGAGACCGTTGATAAACAATGTTGCTTATATTGCAATTGTTTCTATTGAATTTATGTATTTGCAGGTCTTTTTTCTTACTCACACATGGAGTTTGAGGCAGACCGAGATACAGGACCTTCTGGCGACCCTTCACTCACAGATATGACCAACAAGGCTCTCAGCGTTCTCGAGAGGAGCCCCAAGGGATACTTTTTGTTTGTTGAAAGTAAGAAATTACATTCCTAGTTTGAAATCTATTTTTAGTGAGTAGTTTATGTAGTTTCAGGGACTATAGCTGACATGTACCATCTTAATTAGTAAAAACAAAGGTTTTGCGAAGTTTCGGGATATGGAATCCTTTAACCCCGTTTACAGCTCCCTGTTTCTTTGTGATTTTACACCTTTAGCAGAATTTGTTTACCTTTCTTCTGGGTTTTCCTAGGCGCGGAATCGGTGAGCAGAGAGAGGAACGCGGAGAGTGGACTCCACTCGTCTTAGGCAATTTAATGTTACTGTTTTCCTAGAAGCGGAACGGAATGCCATGTTAATTTCAATTCCGCTCTCCGCGTTCCTCTCTCCACTCTCCGCTTCCGCGCCTAGGAAAACCCAGCTTAATGTGTTAGGCACTTCTCACCTGAGATGGTATCAGATTCCAGATCCCGAAAATTTGTAAACATTTTGTTGTTCGCTTGTTAATCGTGAAGGAAAATGTCCGCAATAATTCCTTAAGCAACATAAGAACACACACATTTGCTTAAAATATAATAAATACTATATTGAATAAGAGTATAACATGAATATTAAAATATAATATAGACTTTATTAAATAAGAGTATAACATGAATATTACGACAAGGCATATTAAAAGTGATAATTTATATTAGCCAATATTGTCAGGGAAATTGTTTAATATTGGTTTTTATTGCTTTAAGTATCTCACAAATTGAAGTGCTTTATTCGTGAAAAATAAGAGATTTGAATAAAAATACGTATCAATCACGCTTATTTCCAACTCTAAAATCGAAAAACATACATAAAAATACAGTGGAGGTTTAACAGACCTAAATTGAACGTTAAACCAGATTATAATATGCTCTCCGGTATGAATAATCTATGAATTTATCTTCTCCTGTAGGAGTTAGTTGTTATTCAGTGGATGTCCTGGTTGATAAATTGCTATATCATGAAGCATTACAGGTTTTACATAAACTCTATAGTTAGGACCACATAAAGGCATTGAAGTTATTATAACCACGTGTGGTTTCAACGATTTATAATATGAAAAACTGTCATTTTAGTAACAATGGTGACATAAATAAAATAAACAGTATCAGCAAACTGACACATACTTTTTCCCATTAGCTTGTCCCCAACTCTTAAGCACTGGGAGTAACTATGATATTTTATGGGTAAATAATAAAAATATTGCATTAAATGTGAACCATAATTTTTACAGCATTGGGGGGTTGTAAATTTGTTTTAGAGTTGAGATGGACCATAACTTACTAAATGTCTATCAAAATCATTTGGAAAAACCGTTATTAAAAATAATACTGTCGCCTCAGCTAACCTACAGACTAAGCGAATTTCCATTTGCCTTACTTGATTTTAACTTAAATCTAATGAATTAATATTAGGTTTAACAAGTACCTAGGTTTGCTGCTACGGGGAGCGTAATAAAGTGTGTCCTTAGTAAAATATTAATAGCTTAGTGTAAAATAAATAAATTTGCCAAGTTAGGTCAAAATATATCCATAAAAAAGCAAACTATAACAGTTTAAGTACTGATTCTCCAAAAGAATAACATGGGAATTTTAAATTTACAATTTATTGAAGTTCATCCGTAACCAATAGTTGTAAAATAACACTTCAATATACTAAATGATTTGTTTTTTAGGTCTTTGAAAATATTTAAAGATAAATTTGAAAATTTTATGTTTTGAGGGTCAACAATGAGATAAACTAATTTTTACCCCATAAAACCCCGTTCCCATAGTCCGATGATGGTTCGCTAACTCATTTAAGTTTATCCCACCCTACACCTACAAGCTAAATTACATCCAAATCGGACAAAAATTACTCAATATATCATCAAAATGAACAAGTATATCGATCGGTCCCAGGTCTAGGTTTTACCGTTCCGCCAACGGCAACAGCGACTTCCCTATTGGGCAATTCGATAAAAAATAAAAATAAAAGGAAAACCTGGATATACCATTAAAATCGAACCACATGTGTAGAAATCACTTTTAAATCGATAGGTTCAGGGGTACCCAAAACTTACTAGTACTCCACCACCCAAAACTCAAATAAAAAAAAATGACTAAAACAATACTTTCTCTCCTATACAATGTATATGGAGAAAGTATTGTTTTCGTCATTTTTTGAATAGGAGATAAGGTAAAAATATTGGAATTCTTTAAGTCATTGTACACATAGTTGAGTCAAAATATTAGATCTTAGTTGTACGATTCTATTTTTTGACAAGTGAGACGTTTCACAAGTTGTCTAAATAATTAACGTAGGCAGTGTGTTTCAAGCTTTCTAAGAACTTTTATACGCACAATAATTGTGGACCAATCGTGACTAATGTCTGAATACATGATTGCACGTGTATTATTATTTAAATGTTTTGGAATATGAGGAATAGATACCTCCATAAAGATTTATTTGTAATGTAGCAGTTGTCAAACAGTAATATGAAAGGTAGACACTGAACTTCCAGTATTAAACCAGACGACAGCAAAAACTTATAACTTATCAATTATGGTTTACAAAACTAAATGGGATTATAGTTATGGATAGAAGAAGTAAAGCTTTAGCGGCCGTTTCGAGGATTCACTCTACCAACTAAAACGAACGCTAGGATGAACATAATTAATATTTAAACCCTAAAAACAGCAACATGCTCCCGAATCTTGCTTTACTCTCTTGGAGGAGGGTTACAAGTTAATATTATGTTGTTAAACTTGCTTTTCAGTCTTACTAAAGTGTCCTGATCAAGTTCACGTTTATAAACTTTACATTCATGTTAACTCGTTCTATAAATATGCTAGGAGTATTAAAACGAAAATACCCCTGCCGCAGCAAACCTGCAGACAAGGCAAATTTCCATTTAGATGGTTGGATTTTTCACTGAAATATTCCCTTAAAATTTTCAGATTTATTTTTATTACGAAAAAAAGTATTAAAATTTTAATCTCTTCATATTAAATGAACAAATTTTGGCAAATTTGTTTAAATTAATTCCCAAACAAGCAAACTACAACAGATTATTGTGATACCGAAAGTTCCATCCTCCTGGTGTTTATTCCATATGTGTTTAGGCTTCTATTCTATAAGAATAACATTGGAATTTTAAATTTACAGTGTTTTTAATTTTCTCCGTAACAAAAGAAACTCCGACGCTGTATGAGAAAGTCGTACAAAAACGCTTTAGTATACTTTTTTTTATCCCTACAAAATAGTTTAGAAAGAATTTGCAAATGTTATGTTTTGGATGTCAAAAATGGGATAGCCAATTTATACACCATAAACTGACGGGTTCTACGGTGATGGTGGCTGGTGAACTCATCTGAATAATCGTAGGTTTACTCGTTTGTACAGAACTTAATCACAAACAGTTAAATAAGCCCATAAAATACTAAAAGCAAGGCACTGTAAACCAAAACTGAACTAATAAGTTACACATCTCACAATGGACGGGACCAGAACGGACTACTTTAGTGGTTCTTTGTTCTCAACACACGAAAGAGAATGCGACTGGTCCATTAATCACAGGTGCCTTGGGTTTTAATCAATTCAGTGACGGAGTTAGTAAGGAATTCCCATGGTCTTAAAACAATTTTACAGTGCGTTTGTACTAAAGTACATTTCTTAATGATTTTTAACTCAAATCTACCAAAATATGATTTTGTTAAAATAATCAGAACATAGTATTAAATTGGTTATAAACTAATTTAAAACAGTAACATTTTAAAAATTAGTACGATTACTTTGTTTCGTTTGTAAATTAATTGGTATAATTTCGTATTTTTAGTTGAAACTCGCCTTAGTTTTACCACCATATTCATTAATAATATTCTTATATATTTAGCTATTGAGTGCCTTTGTTAATTTGAAATACTTGGCTCACCTATCATAATCGGAATATATGATTAAAGTAAATCCAACCATTTTAGGCGTAACACAATTTATAGTATAATTTGTTGAATGTATTCATCTAGGTGGCCGAATAGATCATGCACACCACTACAACAACGCCTACAGAGCTCTGGACGAAACTCTCACATTAGAAACTGCATTGGCGGACGTTCTAAACAGAGTAGACTTAGAGGATACTCTGATAGTTGTCACTACAGACCATTCACACGTGTTGACGCTGGGAGGGTTAGCTACCCCCAGGGGTAACCCCATACTAGGTGAGTGTATTGTTATGTATGATTATGCATTTAAATTTCCCCCATAGTAGTCTAGGATACCTTTTATAAAAGGTAGGAATTATTTTTAAACTACATACTAACACTGGAAGGGTTAGCTAGCTACCCTAGGTACCTCAATACTAAACCTATATAACCTATAGATGGCAAGTTTAGGCTTTAAAGTATTGTTGTTACTAGTAAATTTCCCATAGTAGCCTAGAATACATTTTAATAATGTAATTGTTTTGTAAACTATTGAGTATGAGAAGCCACCCCTAGGGGCAAACATATGCTTAAAAAGTCTAGGGATGTATATTATGGTTGTGCTTTTCAAATTCCCCTGTAATAAGCTAGGATAAATTGTTTTATTATGTGGCTATTATTTTATAAACTAATGAATCCTCCAAATACTAGGTAGTGGTATGGCTTTAAAATAAGATTATGTTTTTTATTACTATCAGAACAACTTAGAAACATTTTCTAGGGACATTTTGTTCCCTTACTTCCTCGAGCATACATATATTATAAAACGACCACTTTGTCTCAACTGCCAAGAAAATATTTCTTAATATAAATATGTTTCATCCTATAAACTAAAACTGTGTGAGCAATATTTACAAGCTGTAAATGTAAACTCTATATTATTTATTTATGTGTTAATACAATCCTTCGGACAGGCCTGTAAGCTTAACGTGAATGAATGATTAAACTTAAGCTATGCTATTACATTTTGAGCAGTCCTTTGCTTATTCTTTAAAAAAAGGAAAGAACTTCTTCTCTGAAGAAAGAAAACATTAAAGAAAGTTATTTCTGTTCTTGCTGATTGTTGTGTTGTTCGATCTATTGCCCCTTAGCTCAGTGATTAGTCTCTGAGATGCACAGTTTACAGAACAATCAATCATGACAATTTCTCTCGAACAGTCATAATATTATTTGATGACTCATGTTGTTGGGACTGATGAAAAAAATAAACTTGACATAACTTTAAAATCGTATTGAGGTCCAGGGACTTTAGAATTTGACTTGAAGGAAGATCGATTTGTGGTCGATTTATTTATTTTACTTTACTTATTTAAATGGACAATGGGCTTACATATTGCAAGGAACTAACATATATTAACGTATTAATATCTGGATATATTGTAAATATTGTATCTTTGCCAAATAGTTTTATGTTTTTGGACTTTTGGAAAGGAAATAGAGAGAAAGTGGCCACTCAGGATTAAGTTTTGCTGAATTTAAAACACTGTTCACTTTTAATTTGGAAGAATTTGAGATAGTTAGACGCGTTGCTTGCTTTATGTCATGGTTGGAGTAAGAAAAAGAGAAAGAGTATACACGTCCACAGATAGAGTTGTTAAAGTCTTCCATTTGATGGTAGCATCAATCAGAGCACTGAAAAACAGACATAGTTGACTCATTTTCCCATTTAATTAAAATACAATATGTTTAAGAATGCATGTAATAATGGCCCAAAAAGTATCATAAAAATATTGATTGACTGCAATACTATTATTATTTAGCTGCCAAACGGGGGGGGGGGGGGTTCTAAAATCACCAAAATTGAGGAAAAGTCCTCAGTCATAATATTTGTTCTAGATAGGATATATCCCTTCAGTTATGTTTAACTTTAAAATTTTCTATAGTAGGCCTATTCATATTTTCGACACTAAGTGATTTCAAAGTTTGCTTGTATATTTTATACCAAAGGCACGGACACCAAGCCGTCAGATATAGACGGACAGCCATACTCGACCCTCCTGTACGGGAGTGGACCAGGGTATAGTGTGCCGAGGAATGTCCCTAGCAACGCCAGTTCAGCAAGTGAGGAGAGGAACTCCGTCCATGGGGCCGCAGTCCCCCGACAGTGGGGCACCCATGGAGGTGAGGATGTGCCGGTCTTTGCGGCTGGACCCTTGGCTAGGGACCTCTTCAGTGGCATTGTAGACCAAAGCTACATTCCCCACGCGATTGCATTCATAGGTACGTGGATGATTAGAATAGTCAATGTAGAATAAATACTTAATTAATGGTCAGTCATTTATTCAGTCTTTAAACACACTGAAATCAGTGAAAAATAAATACTACAGGGTGATTGATATAAGTGTGCCAGCAGTTTTATTTGAAAACCATAAGAGATATCAAAAAAAGTTATCTCAATTTCAATACACAAAACTAACTGCCTTACTTAACTGCCTTGGACTTTTTATTTAAAAAATTGTAGTAAAGTCGAAAAAAATATTTTAGCCGTCATTTTTCCAATATGGCCGCCAACTTAGATTTTTCTAATGGAACACTCTGTATTTTATGATGTATTCTGATAGAAAATGTAATTTTAAGACGATTTTATTCTTGTGATTTTTTTCATAAACCTAACCGTTTCAAAGATATTAATGGTTTAAGTTGTGAAATTTTGAATGGTTTTCGAATAAAACAGCTGGCATGCTTGCTTAGGCCTTTATCGAAACTCTTTCTCATGCAGAAATTTCAAAACTTTAACCATTATTATCTTTGAAACAGTTAGGTTTATGAAAAAAAGCACAAGAATAAAATCGTCTTAAAATTACATTTTCTACCAGAATATATCATAAAATACAGGGTGTTCCATAAGAAAAATCAAAGTTGGCGGCCATATTGGACAAATGGCGGCTAAAATAATTTTTTCGACTTTACTACAATTTTTTAAATAAAAAATCCAAGGCACTTACCATTTAACTTTTTTTGATATCTCTTATAGTTTTCGAATAAAACGGCTGGCACACTTATATCAATCACCCTGTATGTAATAAAATTTGACTTGAACTAAGCTTACAAATAATCGTAGCATAATGATGGCTACTGTTTGTATTATGGCTGTAAAATAATATTTACATTTTAATTACAAACTTTGTATTAAGCCAGTTTTGTCATATGTTTATGTTAAATTCCTTGCCACCTCTGTTCTTATATCTGTGGTTGTAGCAGAAAATGAAGTCTGTACAATGAAATACGTTAAACTAAACTACGGGTTTTAAACGTATACCATTAATTAACATGAGTTGTCGATTCTTAAAATTTTAAAATCGATTCACAACAAGAAACTGGTTGATAGTCAATAATATCCAGCCTTTTTAAAACTGTTTAACTTAATACAAGTTTGGATCTCATGTTTGCCAATTTATAACACACAGCAATTGCTAGCTAAAATTGGGTTGGTCGTTATTAACTTCACTAAATTGTCATAGTTATTGTCGTTCAGACGTTAATGAAAGACTTTTCAATCTATTTAAGGAAATATTGTAAATAAAAAATATCCATGGATAGCATATGATATGACGGTAACTTATGTTCTTAAATGTACAAAACTTAAAAGGTATTAACCAACCCTGATTTCGTGATGTTTTTTTTTAGACCAACGTGGTATTGCTAGTATGACATTTATCTAAAATAGTAGGCTTACATTCAAGTATTCCTAATTATGTACAAAGCACGAGTTTTGTAGTTCTTGTGCTAATCTTTGGTAGCCATCCTAATATTATTAGCAAATGTTGCCTTGTTCGCATTGAATTTAGTAAGATTACTTTCAATTATTCTTTGCACTTTCTAGGACATAGTAGAGAGATGTGAACATAACAAATGTTTTCATTTATGCAGCATAAACATTTATGATCTGTAATATAAAGCTTTAAACAATCATACTTTTTGTTAGCTATTGCTAACGGTTTTGCTAATTGTTTTCCATTACTTCTACTCAATGTGGAATTACGTAAAGGAAAACTAACATTTTGTGTTTAGGCAAAGTAATTGAAAATTGAGAAGGTATGCATTATAATTATGGCTAATATAAACGGTTGAAAGATATTTCTGATAAATATTGCTACCTTAGAATGTTAATAGAAATATAATTTTATTTCAAAGCTTGCCTTGGAGAGCATAGCAAGCGGTGTACGTCAGGGCCCGACAACTACACTGAGCCCAAGAAAGAGGTTGGTTAATTGAGTTTTCAATGCACCTTTCAAAGTATAAAAGAGCTTTTGCTATCAAATTGAAACATTTTCTACAAGAGAAAAAATAATCTTGATATAAATTTATTTCTTATTTTAATACTAATTTTGAAATTGATTTCTAATTATAAAAAAACCTTTGTTTTTTTTACAGTGAGTATTAGATATTGGATTTGCTGTTTTAAAATAAACAATTAAACACATATCAAGAGATTCGAGTAGAAGGGTTTATTTGGTGTAGCATCTTCAATATAATTCTTGCTGGATTATTATAGACACATTTTTCACAGGTAATAAAGAATCGACTTAAAAAAGACATGTTTAAGGATAAATATAAGTAAAGAGAGTTTATACGAGGAAATCCAAAATCCATTCCAAGAAGAGCAACAGATTCTGGAGCAGTTATTACAGGATATCCGCCCCTAATGTTTGAAGCCGAAAGATCACCTTAATTCTGCTCTCTGCTGCTCTGTTTGATAAAAACTACAGTATGAAAATGCATATAAAAACTCTTTAAATTTAGTGGTATTTTCTGACTTTGGAATATTATATTTCACGATAAAATTTTAACTTGATAAGTAGTTTGTTGTAACAGTTATGTTATAAACTGTGGAATACCAAATTTTGATTTGATTTCTTGTAATATGATCATTGGAATAATAAATAATAAAATATAAATAAATACATGTATGGACTTACAATAAAATTAAATAAGAGCAGTTTCTTTTTAAAAACAAAGTGATAGGCCAATTAAATCCGTAAATTATAAAAAAACAGGCTTTATAAAAAAAAATACGATATTCAATTAAATAATTAGTGAATACCCATTCATGGTAAATACTATTTTTATAACATGTATTTTTTTACTTAATAATTTGGGTTGGAATTAAGATGGATGATTTTCAGCCTTGCAAACTCAAATTATTTGGCGCTTTCTGTTATATTCACGATTTTTGACATTTTTTATTTTTTGAATTCATAGTACAGTACTGCTTACATACCAAAACTTTGCAGTGGTTAATTAAATCCAACGCAAAAAGAATATGTTTGATAATATCTTGCATAACCTCTCATCTGAAAAGACTCATATGGAATGATTTTGCTTGTTCTTGATTGGCATGTGTTATAGAATAATAATATCAAAACGTGTTACCACTAAGTACCGTATGATTTTTTATCAAAACCTTACATTATTAATTTCAGTGCTTTAATCATTTTCGCCATATTCTTTTATATTGAGGAGCATATTATTTGGGGAAAATCAATCTTGTAGCAAATGCAAATTCAATGCAGAAAAAATACTGTTTCAATGTTTATATAGTGTAAGTAATCATAGAATATATTTTTTCATAGTTATTAGACTGGATTGTGACATTTAGGTATTATATGACCAAAAATAAGTCCAACCCTCTAAGATAAGACTCTAAAACATGTCTGAAATTTGTGTTAGGTTTTTAACTTCGTATTACATTCTAGATCGACTAAAATGTTAAACATGCATAACGTCAAAAGATATTTAATTGTATATAAAAGTGTTAAGCTTTCTAAAAACGGATTATAAGACAATTTAACCACTTGGTACATACTATTTTACTACCACGTATGTGTTGGTGAATATTTAACTATATTTTAATTTTTCTAGAGCTGCACTTCTGCTCACGTAAGCACAGTGTACAACTCAAGACGAAGAGGTGGTATTGTCCTAGCTAGCAGTGTGATGAGCGAAGACAACCCTTCTTCTAGGGCCTCGCCCCCCTGGCCTAGTCTTACTTCAACGAAACTTGCAGTTCTTGTACTCTCTTGGTGGATCTTAAGGTGGCTGGAGTTATTATGAACACAGTTGAACAGTCAATCTCCAACAATGGATACTCATTAGACCTAGATGTGTGTGTGTGTGTGTGTGTGTGCGTGCGCGCGACTTGTCAGTGTCTAGTGTGTTTGTGCATTTTGTGTGAAGTCAGAGTTAGTGAGATTTTGATAATTAGCACGAGTTCAGATTTTATTAGTTCCAAAAGAATAAGAATGCGTGAAAATTCAAAGATTGACACTTAATTGAACACCAAATTTTAATTGCAAATAATACAAATAATGGCTTTATAAATAATAATAAAGAAATGGAATTTCATCCACGACGACTAACTTTATCTTAGGTGACGGAATATTATGTTGATAAGTTTTCAAATATTGCACAGGGAAACCAAATTTGTAAAAAAATGTTACAAATTTACATGTTTCATTTATACATTTTGTCTGGGGTTTAAAGAAAATCATGGACACAATTTAGATATTATTTGTAAAGTACGAACAATAAATGAAATATTGATATTTTATTGAATATTATTCGTTTAATGTATATGGCAACTTTTATTTTTTTTTTTTAGTTACCGTACTGTACTGATTTGAAACATTTAAGTGTGTAGTAATAAATTCATAAAACCCAGCTGTTCTATAACACGTAAACGATGTTTCAAGATAATTTAAAACCAGTTTAGCAGAAATGTGTAATTTAAAAACAGGTTTAAAAGTGTTTATCACTTGAAATACAACGTATATATTGCTAGTGTAAATATAAGTTTGTACAGAGTGTAAATAAAATACATGTAATACATTTTTACTGTAAAAGTGTACATTGTAATTTGACGTTTATATTTTGTATAAATGTATGATACATATTGTTTTGTGGTTTTAATTCAGTACAAATTTCCTTTTCCCCCTTATATAGCTATTTAAACATGGTCTAATCAAAATTAGCCTATTGGATCTGATGATGATTGGAGGGTCCAATCGAAATCGATCACCACTTATCACCTTTTTTGTATATTTACCGTCTTGTGATTAACAGTATAAGCGTAACTATATGTTTTAAGTGTTATAAGACGTTTCTTTATTTACTTACCGTAAATTTAATAACACGTACAATGCTGATCAAGAAGTTATACAGTGTATTCCCAATGGATTGTTAGGCTGAGCGCAAACTGATCGAGCATTTGACCTGAAGCAAAATTTTGCACAACGATTTGCTTGAAGCGTTTTGTTTCTTTTCTTCTCCAGAGTGCGGGAGGTTAAAAAATAATTCAGAATTATTGGTTTCAAGCAAAAATAAGAAAAATAAATATTATTTTTACTGGTCCTTAACAACAGTATTGTTTTAACATGTGTGACGAGGAAGTCAACGTAGCTGGTATAAAATAGGTTTACGTACCTTACGTCGTCAATCCTTGAATAGTCTTACAAGCGACTAGTTTCGAAACTGGCGTTTCATTTTCAAGCTTTGTCGCCTAACATAAAATTATTGGAACATGATGTCGTCATCAAAATACACAAATAAAACACTTAACACGCACAAATACATTAAATGAGTCGGTAGTTGAGACGTGTCCGTCGTGCGTTTTATGGCCGGCCGCGCATATTTCTTATGGGAAAACGGTTGCCTTTCTGCGAAATACTTTTAGTGGCACTTTTGAAGATATTAAAGATATTGAAGAGTTTGAATATACTGAATACCTATGACACAGCAAACCTGCAGACTAAGTGCATTTCAATTTGCATAATTGGATTTTCACTAAAATTCAAGAATACAAAAATAAAAAATAGATTACTTGAAAAATCTCTGAACGGCTGCCATTTTTGACTAAGTTGTACACATGTGTTTGAACGGCATTGTATTTTATTATCTAAGACCTTTAATTTGTTGTGCATATCAGCATATGCTTACAGTACATTTAAGAATTCCGTCTAACCCCTAGCGGGCCGTACCCTTAGGATGTAGGTTATCACTGAATAATCTATTATCTTTTTAATATTAAGTCTGAAAGCACAAAATATAGTCAAATAACACTATAATATATATTTCCACTTATACTGTTTACTCATAAGACGGTAAATAAATACATATAATAGATGGTACATTAACTTTTAGTACTGTATAAGACCTCTGTAAATAGTTGTAATGATGACTTAGCCAATACAAATGGTACAATAATTAGTTAATTCCGGCTTAACAAACGATTTGATTTGATTTGATGGTAAGTGGTGATCGATTTCGATTGGACATGGACACATCCTATTTTATTGACACTTGGGACATACATATTAAACTACGTTTATTCAAACGAGTTTGCGAACCGAAATACTTGGTCTTACGGTACGTGTATTTTTAATTAGATTTTTCTATGTTTGACTTTTAAAACATAACATTTTGTAATTTATTTCTATACTATCCTGTAGAGCATTAACAACAACTTATTGAGTTTATTAAAGCGTTGTTGTGTGACTAGTGTTTACGGAGAAAATAAAAAAAAACTGAAAAATTGAAATTATTTATGTTATTATTTATGGAGATTAAGTTAACTGTTGTAAATGAGTTCTTAAATTGTCATGAACAAATAAAAGCAATTGATTTGGGCTAGATTACATGCATGCATTTTGGTTTTACGTTTAATATATTTTACAGCCTGCTGAATGATAGAGATCACAAAGATAATCCTATAAAGTGTATTTGACTAATTATATCTTCAGTATTCCTACTGTGATGAGTTTCACGTTGACAAATGATATGAGACCAGACATTGACGAGTATCTAGACGTCCTGTATTACTAATACGGTTGAGTTAGATTACATATTTGTAATGAGTATCAACAATCTACGTATATCTTAATATAATAAGATTTATTTAGTAATAGGTGTAAAATGATTACGACTGTTTTGTTCTTTCTAATCGCTATTATTCTTCTCTTATACGGGTGATTGGTAGTCAGTGTGAACAATTTCAAGGTATTATGCTCGCAAATTGGGATATACAGTAATACGCAATTTGGATAGTCATATCTCACTCCTCCACCAGGCAACAGCCATTTTCTAAATTTCTTGACATCCTCTGGTAAAATATCGTTTTCTAAACTTGTAATCAACATAATAATGATATTTCAAATGGCTTTTTTAGAATCTGCATTAAATGTTCCATCGGAAAACGTATAGTTTGTTAGAGCCAAATCCATGTAACGACTTCTGAATTCGACTTTAATAGAAAATAAAAACCATTAAAAAGTGTGCCAAAACTTGTTCAAGAAAATTTGTTTATACACCGTGTTAAAAACTGTCAAATAGTATAAAAAAACTTATCTGCGTTTTAAGCTTTAAAATGATACACAGCAAATCAAGTTACATTTTATGCCTGCCTGAGGGGGGCATATTACGTTACAAATAAAATTATTTATTTTTCAATAACTACTTACAAAAATGCATTTAGTGAAAGTAGAGTGCAAAAGGAAGCTATATAATTAGGTGTACCCTAAGTAAACTTGTAAAATCAAATATACAGCCTAAACTGGTCATATTGAATTGAATACTAGGTAAACGTGGTGATATTTAAAATACACAAGTTAGTTGTTGTTGAAAAATAGTTATTATATTGACAATTTTAATATTTTACCACCAAAAAATAGTTTAAGATACAAGATAGTATCATTTAATTTTATTGGAAACAGGCAAAATTCATAGAAAAGCTGATTTAAAAAAAGTCTTAAATATGTGGTTAAAAATACCGGCATTAATGTTTTACGCATGTTCTTGATACACATTTAAACTGCACATGTAAAATATTTTATTCCAAATATATCTAATAGGACATATGTTTGAAGCATGGCCAGCCAGATGCCATGATCTTATATGTCTGTGGAGTTCCCGAATTCCACAACACCCTGTATATTTGATCCTTCCATATACTGGATTAGCCTATGCACTATCATCGTTTACTTTACTGGGTGTTAGGGTTTAAAAACTTTAAAAACCCTCTTTTCAAGTGTGATGAACTTTCCCCTGAACCAAAGTGATCGTACATGAGAACGTTCTGTAAATAACTTATTGCTTATTTGGCAAAATGCCAATATTATTTTAGGGTAAAAAACATTTTTTTACTGGTTCATACCTTTAAAAAATGAGTATGCTTTAAAAAGTGCTTTTAAAATAGTTAGAAATAGTTAACTATTGCTTATTTACCCTTTAGTAATAAGATTTGTGTGATTCCAAAAGACCCAACATGATATAATTGATTTATTAGCCAGCTTTTATGAATGGATATAGTTAAAAATAGGAAAAATAAGCAATACCGAAAATCAATGTTTTTTAAACAACTAGTGACGTAAACATTTCAGTGATAGTTTGTAACCAGCTAACAGTTAAACCAAATTACACTCAAAATTACCTAAAAATTATGCGTAGGCTGCTAAGATTAAAAAATTATAACTTTATTTATACAAAAATGAAACCAAAAATTAAAAATATGGCTTCGACGTTTCCTTCCTTTTAAAATTATCTTTATTTCAAAAGATAAATCATGAAAATCTGTCAAGTAGTTGATTCAGAATCTTCAAATACAATCCCCCAAGTTTAAATGATCAAGATGGGGAATAAATCTTAACATATTTAAGGGAACGTTTCAGTGGACATCCGATTTAGGCAAATTGGAAATTCGCTTAGTCAGCAGGATTGCTGTGGTACGGGCATTTAGCTTTCTATAGGGAGAAGGTATGTTTTTCGTCAACATTTTATGTAGAAATATTATTCATGCATTCCCTTGACCCAAAATAGATGGTTTCTGAAGATTTGAAGCGATTACTATGTGTGAGCGGATGTGACTCACTACAGACTACACACTGGCCCGAACTTGAAGGAATTTGTTATGTCAGTACTAGTCTTATTAGTTGGAATTTTTTTTATTTTTTTATTTTGATTTTAATAGTGATTTTTTCATAAAATAATATATTATGATTTTCACAAACACTGAATTGACGATTTTGATTACTCTTTAGTATGTTATGGTCCATTTAATTGCGAATATAATGACATGCTGTAAAAATAATGGTTATTTTTTAAATTGATTATTTAAATATAATGGTTAGCAAGTTATTGAAATTTTTGCCATTCTCGCCATGTATTTACTTTAGGAAACCATTTTAATTTAGCTGAATAATTCTACGGTAAAAAAAAAATAGGAACACGTTATGTATTGTAACCAAAAACAAAGAACTTCATGATTGTTAAAAATGGAGCCATAATTACCAAAATGATTATAAGGTAACAATATCAACTCCCCTGTAACCCTAAAGGTAAGACGAAGTAACTTGTGCAGGTCACATAGCTTACTTGTTCGAAAAGTGCCCCAAGCTTGGTTTCAGCTTCATAGAAGTTTTGCTTTGTCTGAAAAACTTATTAGTTACTGCTATTATAAAATAACTTGAACGTACAGAATTAATTTTTTGATCTTAAATTAAATACACATGTATCGATGAAGTGGTTA